AGCATCTATGGGCTTGTTCGGCTGCCATACTACAGTAGTTGTGTTGCTGCCTATGTCGTAGTGATTATAGGTGCAATATTGTAGCAGTTGGCTGTGTTGTATCCACATTTATGCATACTTAAATTTCCCAACGAACACCAAAGTGCTTTTCTCTAGTATAGTGGATGAGTAATTGGATACACACTATAAACACTTTGATGTAATAAATACCATCTTTACACAAAGGAAAATGTGGTAATCTCATTCTCTTTCGTGTTCTTCTAGTTTTGCTTAGTTTTTGTTTTAGTTTTATTTGATTTTATATTTCAAAACAGTGACAAAACAATAGAAAAAAGTTCCCTTTTTGTCTTTTATTTGGTGTGAATCTTTATTTGTTCTCCCCTATCACCATCTCTAGTAGGCTTAAGTTTTCAAATTTCAATCCTACATTAGTTAAAGGAATAGAGAATAACATCTATTTTGTGATCTAGCAGTTCAATAGCCCATTGTAGTTCAATCGCTACAGTTGTTTTGTGTGAGAGCTACATTGTCCAGAGGCACTTTTAATGTGGATCCTGCTAGGTTGCTTGTGGGGCTACTTTCTTTTGTTGCATTATTTGTGGGGCTACTTAATTCTAGAACTATCCACACAAAAGGTGTCGTCGGTTGGTGACTCATGTTTGATATGATCGATTGCTTGCATTATGCAATATCATTTATTTTATGACAATACTCTGAACAACAATAGTCGAGCTATCTAGATGTATCGGTTAACAGTGAAATTTGATAAGCCCGGAGTAGTCATCGGCTTAGAGACAGCATTGGCTTCGAAGTCCAGAGATTAGCCGATGAGAGTTGTCAAGTCGTCAGTTGTCGGATTCTTGCTATATTCGGTTAAGAAAATTGATCTACTAAAGGAAGCTTATCCAGAAGAGACCGAGTTCAAAGAGAATGTGGCATGGCAAGTTATCTATTAATTAGGAATAGTTTGTTAGTTTCCTTTTATCTTTAGAAAAGTGTGTTTAGTGTCCTATAAGGACTTTATTTTTTCCTTTTATCTTTAGGAAAGTTTCTTTTTTGTCCGACAAGAACTTGTATCAACCCATGGGTATAAATATGTACACCCGGGGTCTATGTAATCTATCGCTACAATCAATACAATTCAGCGCATCGCCACCTTTTACCTTTTCTACTTTATTTTATCGTCCGGCGGGACTTGGCACCTGACGCGGGGCTGCATCGGTGTTCGATCTCCGGCTAAGGGGTAAGTCCGATGTTCCGCCGGCCTGGGCAATTGTATCGTTTACGTCGGCGTCGTTCAAGGCTGCATCAGTACATTCGACCTCTTGGATTGCTCTGGTTTGGATGATATATTTGCCTACTTATTTATCATATGTCTCTGTTAATATAGTCTTAGCATATCAATTTAGCTCTATCGGCTACTTCTCGTTTTAGGGTTTCTGCCGGTATCGGCTAAATCGCGTTGCTAGATTATATTAGCTTAGACATCTACCACCCTGAAAACTCAGTCAATGGCTTGATTGTCTAGATATTATGTTTTTTTTCATACTTAGTGCTGCATCAGTTAAATTTTATCTACTAAGTCGTGCTTAGAACCATAATCTCTAGCCTACTTTTTGACTGCCAATAAGGGTTTCATCGGGGTTTCAGCCGGTGAGTTATCTGGACGTTGCATCGGCTCATAAGGATTGCATATACATATGAATTGGATTTAGCCAATGACAACAAATGTTTCACCGTTTAATCTAATATTGTGGATTTCATGACATCGGACCTCCAGCCGATGTGTGCTTTAACCTTCGGATCGATGCTGATTTATCATATTATTATTTGCCGATTGATTTATACTGGACTATATTATTGTTATATTTTATTATCAGTAGGCGATTGCCTTTATATCATTATCTACATTGGATATATGGCCGATTGCTTAAACCCTATCGCTATCGGCTGGTATCGGCATCGGCTATTATCGGCTATCGGCTGGAACTACTCCATCGGCTTGTCAGCCGATCGGCTGTTTTGATCTACTATTTGCATATCTTGTTAATTGCAGGATCAAACTGACTGGCACGCTCGCATCTAATCAAGATTTGGATCTGCACAGGAGCTAAGCAGATCTCCCAGGCCGGTGTGTTCGATTTTCTCGTCAACACAGATTGGCACGCCTGGTGGGACCACGAATTTTATATCCACATGTCTGAAGAAGAAGTCAATGCCAAGATCATTCAATCTCGGCTCGGGGGGCAAGCGTATAAGTTTCAGCATGGTGAAGCACATCAGTATTAGCTCATGAAAGCCGATTGCAAGAAGCGAAGGAAGATCGGTTTTGGAGTTATCAAGACAAGAAATTTTGAAGCATGAATTCTCATACTCCAAAACTGGGGGGCATGTGTTAACAGTGAAATTTGGTAAGCCCGGAGTAGTCATTGGCTTCGAAGTCCTTAGATTAGCCGATGAGAGTTGTCAAGTCGTCAGTTGTCGGATTCTTGCTATATTCGGTTAAGGAAATTGATCTACTAAAGGAAGCTTATCAAGAAGAGACCAAGTTCAAAGAGGATGCGGCATGGCAAGTTATCTATTAATTAAGAACAGTTTGTTAGTTTCCTTTTACCGTTAGGAAAGTGTGTTTAGTGTCCTATAAGGACTTTATCTTTTCCTTTTATCTTTAGGAATTTTTCTTTCTTCTCCGACAAGGATTTGTATCAACCCACGGGTATAAATATGTGCACCCGGGACCTATGTAATCTATCTTCACGATCAATACAATTCGGCGCATCGCCACCTTTTACCTTTTCTACTTTATTTTATCGTCCGGCGGGACTTGGCACCCGACGCGGGGCTGCATCGTCTTCGATCTCTGGCGAAGGGATAAGTCCAATGTTCCGCCGGTCCAGGAAATTGTATCATCTACATCAGCGTCGTTCAAGGCTGCATCAATACATTCGACCTCTTGGATTGTTCCGGTTTGGATGATATATTTGTCTACCTATTTATCATATGTCTCTGTTAATCTAGTCTTAGCATATCAATTTACCTCTATCGGCTGCTTCTCGCTTTAGGGTTTCTGCCGGTATCGGCTAAATCGTGTTGCTAGATTAGATTAGCTTAGACATCTACCACCCTGAAAACTCAGTCAACGGCTTGATTGTCTAGATATTATGTTTCTTTTCATACTTAGTGCTGCATCAGTTAAGTTTGATCTACTAAGTCGTGTTTAGAACCATAATCTCTAGCCTACTTTTTGATTGCCAATAAGGGTTTCATCGGGGTTTCAGCCGATGAGTTATCTGGATGTTGCATCGGCTTATAAGGATTGCATACATATTGGATTTAGCTTATCGCAACAAAGGTTTTACTGTTTAATCTAATATTGTGGATTTCATGACATCAGACCTCCAGCCGATGTGTACTTTAACCTTCGGATCGATGCTTATTTATCATATTATTACTAGCCGATTGGTTTATACTGGATTATATTGTTATTTTATTACATCATCATCAGCCGATTGCCTTTATATCATTATCTACATTGGACATATAACCGATTGCTTAAACCCTATCGCTATCTGCTGGCATCGGCATCAGCTATTATCACTATCGGCTGGAACTACTACATCGGCTTGTCAGCCGATCGGCTGTTTTGGTCTACTATTTGCATATCTTGTCAGTTGCAGGATCAAACTGACTGGCACGCCCGCATCTCATCAAGATTTGGACCTGCACAGGAGCTAAGCAGATCTCCCAGGCCGGTGTGTTCGATTTTTTCGTCAACAACTGGAAAAAAAACATTTTTTCAGGCGGACTAAACAAGTTTTTGTAGATGGACAACTGGTCCGCTTACAAATGAACGCCTGCGAAAATAGCTCCCAGCATTAAAAAAAAGGGCAGCCACCGCCCACCGCCGTTTCGACCGGTAGCAGCAGCTTCCTGTTCTCCGTTTTCCTCCCATTCCCCCATCCAATCCAGTTTCCATTCCCCATCAAACCAAATCAAATTCACAAAAGCATCACAAGTTAACATAGAAGAATCATAGTAGTTCACAATCAAATCAAACGCATCACAAATTAACTTTCAAAATCAAAACAAACGCCACCGCCTCCACCATCACAGCCGGTAGCTGCCGCCGCGACCGCCCTCCGTGCCACCGGATCTGGGAGGAGGGAGGGGAGATGCCGCTGCCGCCCTCTGCGCCGCCAGATCTAGGAGGAGGGAGGGAAGACGCTGCAGCCTCCGCCCTCCTCGCCGTCGCAGCCACACACCCCGCCGCCGTCCAACCCGAGCCGCCGGTCACCGGCCTCCCCCCTCCTCCCTCCGGCCAGATCTGGGAGGAAGGGAGGGAGGGGAGCTGTCGGCCGGCGAGCACATACTGCGCCCCGCCGCTGTCCGCCCCACGCCGCCGGCCACCGGCCTCCCCCCTCCCCCCTCCGGCCAGATCTGGGAGGGAGGGAGGCGAACCGTCGCCGGCCAGCGAGCACACGCTACGCCCCGACACGGGTCCGCCCCGCGCCGCTGGCCACCGGCCTCCCCCCTCCTCCCTCCGGCCAGATCTGGGAGGGAGGGAGGGAGGAGAGCCGCCGCTGGCCGTCCCGCGTCCGCTCCTTCCACTGCCCTCGCTGGGGTGCGCCACCACTGCCTTGTAGCCGCCTCCGGCCGACGGCCGGGGAAAGGAGAGGTTAGGGAAGGGGAGAGTAGAGGACAGGTGGAGGGGAGGGGGAACGGGGAACGGGAGAGGAGAGGAGAAATGGGACTTGGAAAAAAAACCGCTCCGATGTCGCCTCTATTTATATTGTACACTAATTTTCGTAGACGGACTATCCGCCTGTGAAAATAAAGGGTATTTGCAGGCGGAATGGTCCGCCTGCAAGACAATAAGCTTCAGCCCGGTTTATATTTTTGTATGCGGTCATTTGGTTTCAATGGTTATGTTCGCCTGTGAAAAAAAAAACCCCACATTTGAAAAATGCATTTTCTAAGTAGTGGTAGGAGTGAAGGACTAATTAAGGAGGACGACCAGTAGAGATAATTCCATTACACGTTGCCGGTGTGTACTTACGAAAACTTAACGACTTCACAATTTTATTGCGTATAGTAGCAAAGTTCACACAGTCGTCACATCGTGTGACAGGACTAGCTACGTACGGTACGGGTGGCACACCAACACCAACTTCATCTCCCCACGAGAGTACCAGACGTGGCCATGCTGGCTCAGTTGGTGGCAGCTGCTGCCCACTCTGCCTGCTTCATCTTGGCGTACTCGGCCAGCCTACCGGTGTCCGGCAACACCGCCTTGGCAGCGTCCAGCGCGGCGAAGCGGTCCAGCCACGCGTCAAGGAGCGGGCTCCGGCTCGCATCGAACAGCCTCATCCCGTGCACGGCTTCACCGACGCGCACAAACCCGATCACGGCGCCGAGCGTGACGTCCACGTACCCGACGGCGTCGCCGCCGAAGAAGGGCTTCCCCTTGGAGCACTCCTTGAACGCCGCCTCCAGGTTCGCCACCGCCGCGAACGTCTCCTTCATCGCCGCCGCCTTCTCCTGCTCCGTCTTGCACATCGACGCCTGCAGCCATGACTTCAACAGCTGCAACAACGATGCACACACAACGCATCAGTTCATCTCGTCATTTTCGATTCGATGCAAATTCAAGACGATTGGGTTGAGGCAATTCGTCGATTACCTTGTCGTCGATGTAGGCGGCCCAGAAGCGAGCGACGGCACGGTCGTAGGGGTCGGATGGGAGGAGAGGAACGCCGGCGTCGGGGAACGCCTCGTCGATGTACTGCACGATGACCTGCGACTCGCAGACGGGCTTGCCGTTGTGGATGAGCACGGGTACCTTCTTGTGCACCGGGTTGGAGGTGAGAAGCAGCTCGCTCTTGTTCTTGAGATCCTCCTCGACGTACTCGTAGCTCAGGCCCTTGAAGCTGAGCGCGAGCTTCGCTCGCAGCGCGAACGGGCTCGCCCACATCCCCAGCAGCTTCAGCTCATCTCCTCCACCGGCCATTGTCTTCCTCTCTGAAGCTCTGAGATGGTTTTGGCTTGAGTTGTCTTTTGCTAGCTAGCTAGCACTTGATCGGAGCACAACACGAACCGTGAATATTTGTATATGCTATAGAAGACTAGTAGTGCGTCACGAGTGATGCTTGATTGCACAATTGAAATAGGGGTTTCCACAACTACTCTTTAACACGTCGAAAGCTCTTTTCAGTGTTCAGATGTATTCAAAAACATGCGATCAGTAACTTTAGTCAAAACATGTGCAGATAAATCAATAATAAACGGATATGGTGACACCGACACGTTTGACCAGGCTGATTGTTTTCAAACTGGAGTACACTTTTTTTTTTCCTGAAAATACTCCAGTCAGCATCTCTGAGACTGTCAAGATGCGTCTTCTACTCTTTCTTGGAGAAGAGGAAGCTTAGGATCTGGGGCATTAAATTAAACAAACCTACAGATCATGGCGCTGCTCCCCGTCATAGTATCGCTTTGCTTTACCAGTTAAAGTACGTTTACTTTGACCTGTGAGTTTTGAGAGCCCAAGAACAAAACCAGTGGCAGTGGATGACATGGACATCGCGGGCACTTGTGGGTGTTTGTGCATTGGGGCACAAGAAATGATTACAAAACCTTAGTAATATTTTTCGCAAATTATTTCACAATTATCCGCATGCATGTATTTTGGCTTTTGGGAATAAGAGAGTGTCACCAGGGGTGGATCCAACGTGGAGTCTCCCCTATACTCATAAGACCCATGGATATCTCCGTAACACCCCCTTCGATTTTTTCACCATAATTGATAAATTAAAGGTTTCTAAATGGTTGGAGATTGAATAAACTATGTAACTGAACTCTTCTAATTTTTTTTCCTGGATCCGGCCCTGAGTATCACTAAAGATGTCAACATACATCCCTAGTGTAAAATTACAAGAAAATATATACCGTCAATATAATATAAATATTTTAAAATTTTGCCACAAGATTAAAAATGTGGTGGTTGGCTTACTTGGCTATGAAGGTGTTGGCGCGCGTGGACTCATGGTGGCTGCTGGCGTCTCATCGTGGTGAAGGATGATGAGGAATAAGGAATGAGATCGATTAGTGAAAACACGTAGTATTGTTTCACACTATATTCTACGAATTTACACCCAATAGTGAAAATATTTTTACCCTTTTAATTTTATACTACAAACTATTTAAGTGAGAGAACAAATCAATCTAAACTCTTGGATTATTTATATTGGTGATATATTTTACCACTATATACTGTAAAAGTTCCCAAAATTAAAGGTACAAGCACCATAGAACATACGATTCATCTGAATAATTAAATGGTATGAGTAGTTGCAATGCTTGGAACAAATTATTCACCGAATTAGTATCACAGATATCTATCAGGATAATTAAGTACTTTAATAAAAAATAAAATTAATAAATAGCTCGTAACAACAAGTGATCTGCTAACACCATATAAGAATTTTTTTTTGAGAAATCATACTTTTAGAAATATGGAGTAAATAAATCGCAACAATGATATGATAAACAAGCTAAAAGGAATGGGGGCGGAATCCACAATATTTGAGATAAAACTTCACCCTATAGGCTCTTTTATAAAGAAAAAAAATGGGTTACGTCCCTGTCTCTGTCGTAGGTACCCAACCAATAAACTTTTGAATGGTAAAAAAAGACAAAGTGATGGAAAAAAAATTCCTACTACACACTGCCGAATTTTCAATGAAGGAAATGGATAAATACAGGAGAACAAAACAACCGTGCAAGTTGCAAAATCTCTGAAGGGCAACAGGGCCAACAGCGAGTAACAGAGAAAACAGAGGACAAGCATCTTCATTTTTTTTTTAATAATAGAATAAAACATTCCGGCCTTTACTTAAAGAGTTATAGTCAATTATTTTAGAACTCACACAGAAAAAAACTTATATAGAAAGTTCACGATAGTATAAACAAAGCTAAGCAAACACAAACTAATAGACACCAACAGAAGAAAAAGATCCCCTAACTACTGAATAAACAGAGGACAAGCATCTTCATGACTTCATTGAATATTCCTTGCATTATTCAGACATAAATCAAGATACTGATACAGAAAAAACACTAAATCAACTAAATCTATTCTTTTCCAACAAGCACATTAGTTTCTCCCAAATAATTTTTCCAACAAGCACATTATTTTCTCCCAAACAATGGGAGTTACCACGACATAACCAAACATATCCATCTTAGTTTTTTGAAGCCGCCGCGGCAGCCGCAGCTGCCTCTGCCAGCCTCATCTTAGCGAACTCGACCACCCCGTCGACATCCGGCAACACCTTCTCGGCGACGTCGAGCTCGCCGAAGCGCTGCGCCCACGCGGCCAAAAGAGGGGCCTTCTCCTCGTCGAAGATCTTGGAGCCAGCGAGCACCTCGGTCGCTTTCACCCACGAGATGAGGCCACCAAGCGCGACGTCCACGATCCCGACTGTGTCGCCGCCGAAGAAGGGCTTCCCCTTGGAGCAATCCTTCAGGGCTCCCTCCAGCGTCTCCACCGCCGCGAGCAGTTGCTTCATCCCCTCCGCCTTCTCCTCCTCCGTCTTGCCTCTGAACGTCGCCACCCATGCCGGAACGAACTGCACGCACGCGCCACCCAACACATCATCGCATCAGTGAGATAAAAACCTCGAGAGAAATGCCCGGGAGTTTTCTGGCTAGTTTCACAAGGTAGTGGGCTAGCCGATTTGGGTTTAGAGCATCATCCTTCGAATTATTTGATATTAGATCATTCCCTAATATTTGTGTTTTGAGATAACAGCTCGAACTGTGACACAAATGAAGGAAAGGTAGCTTAGCTATCCTACCTTGTCGTCGACGTAGGCGACCCAGAAGCGAGCGACGGCGCGCTCGTAGGGGTCGGCGGGGAGCAGGGCGGCGCCGGCGCCGGCGTCGGGGAAGGCCTCGTCGATGTACTGCACGATGATTGACGACTCGCAGACCGGCTTGCCGTTGTGGATGAGCACGGGGATCTTCTTGTGCACCGGGTTGGAGGCGAGGAGGAGCTCGCTCTTGTTGACGAGGTCCTGCTTGACGTACTCGTAGCTGAGGCCCTTGAGGCCGAGCGCGAGCTCAACCCTGGTGACGAATGGGCTTGGCCATTTGCCGAGCAGCATCAGCTCGTCTCCTGATCCGGCCATCTCGCTGGGGTGAGAGAGCGGAACAGAGAATGATTGGATGAACACGCTTTGGATTGTGTTTTGCTGCGTATACTTGGATGCTTGATCAGAGCAGGGTGGTGATGTATATATGGTGCTCCAGATTGAAGTGGAGGGTGGCGGGTGATCGATGCATCATCCATGATGCCTGCGGCGTGCCAATGCATCATCCATGATGTCATCGATGAATGCAGACTGAGATTATTCAGAAACGAATAGATTCTGCTGTTTTGGGAATTAAGTTGACTAGGTTCCATTTTACTACCTCAGGTTCTAAACAAATGATAATGTTGTTGATTTTCTTTTACAGATGTTTCACCATTTATCTTATTAAAAACCTTACATAATTATTATTTATTTTATTATAACTTGCTTTACCATTAAGTGTACTTTACTCATTACTTACATTTTCACATATTTGTGCATAAGTTTTCAATAAGACTAACCGTCAAACATATGTCAAAAAGTAAACGACATCATATATTAAAATTTAGAGGAAGTGTCATTTATGTGGATTCCCCAAAGTTATTAATATATAGTTGGCCACATAATCAAAAGATGAAATTGTCAATAGGTTTGGATCATTTATACTGTGATGCAATACTACAATAGAGATGACTGTAAACTGTAAAGGAACAATCGGTTGATTCACTTTTCCCCAAATTCTCCCATCCGTGTGGTATGGTTTAGCCGAATTTGGGCTGTTTAAAATGCATCTGCATGGGGTACCTAACTCTAATAGGTGGTTTGTACCATGCCGGGATCAGGGTTCAATATTTCGTTTTTGGCATTTGTATCCAGAGGTGGGGTACGGCGAAATTTCCAAAATTTTGAAAAATTTCAGTCCAAAATTATTGGAATTTTGTAACAAAATTTGGTCAAATTTGAAAAAAAAACAAATTCTCAAAAATAAAAAATTATGCTAGAAGATCCTCACCAACTGGGACCTGCACACAATTGTTGTGCCGAACGCGTCTCCCATTGCTCCCCTATCCATGTGGCCCACTTGATGAATTAAAAATGAATTCAAACAATAAGTTTGAAAAAAAAGAAAGAGAATACTAACTAAAAGGAAAAAAAAAGACATATACTCAGAAATATTGTGTGGACACTTTTGATCGGGCTAATTGTTTAATTACAAACTACAACTTACTTATTTTTCTTTCTTTTCTAAAAGCATTTTAGTAAGTAACCGAGAAAGTCATGTCTTCCATCCTTTCTTGGAGAAATAAAAGAGGAAACATAAGAAATGGTGCAATAAGGCCATTTACAGTGGGGGCACATGGCGAGTGCCCATTAGCTCGCCACATCATATCCGTGGCTCCAGCTCAGGCTCTGTCGTGCCATCACAGAGGCACCCATGTCCTGTAGCGGGCACGACTGTCTCGTCTGGCCACTTTAAAATTACTTGATTTCTAGCCATTTCAATAAATTTTAGCGAGAGAAATATTGTTTTCGCAATATGCAAGAGACATATTCACTACCAATTTTAATAATAAACCAAAATGTTTTAATAATTGGCTCAGGTAGCTAACATATATTTGCTAAATCCTTAAAATTTGTGTGATTTTTTTGGCTTTCAGTTGTTTTTATTACTTAAGGGTAACTAGGATTTAGTCCAACTACACTTTTCCTTATGTAAAAGCCCAGGATGTAATAATTTTCGTCATCTTTGAAAAAAAAAATGTTCACTCTTGTTCCTCTAAAAATTAATAATTCCATTTATTGGAAGAAACGGGCTAACCAAAACCACACGAACAATATCCAACCGTAAGAACGCAGACAGACAACAAATTCACGTGGCAAACAAAGCCCACATCGCCACATGTGACGGGACTACAAGTGGCACACCATGACACCAAATTCATCGTCGAGGCCCAACCACGTCGCGAACCACGGCCCCTGCATGCCAGTTCAGTTGTTCGCAGCCGCGGCGGCTGCCCGCTCCGCCTGCCTCTTCTTGGCGTACTCGGCTAATGTGCCGGCGTCCGGCAAGACCGCCATGGCCGCATCCAGTGCGGCGAAGCGGTCCACCCACGCGTCCAGGAGCGGGCTCCTGGTGGCATCGAAGAGCCTCATCCCGTACAGGGCCTCGCCGGCGTGCACCCAGCTGACCAGGGCGCCGAGCGTGACGTCCAGGTACCCGACGGCGTCGCCGCCGAAGAAGGGCTTCCCCTTGGAGCACTCCTCGAAGGCCGCCTCCAGGTTCGCCACCGCTGTGAACGTCTCCTTCAACGCCTCCGCCTTCTCCTCCTCCGTCTTGCCCATCGACGCCTGCAGCCACGACTTCAACAGCTGCGACGACGCACCAAGCGCAGCAGTTGACAGTTAATCAATCACCAGAAACATCGTCATTTGGTATTGATTCGATGCAAATTCAAGACAGGGCGTTGCGATTGATTTGAGGCAATTTGTGAATCACCTTGTCGTCGATGTAGGCGGCCCAGAAGCGAGCGACGGCGCGCTCGTAGGGGTCGGAGGGGAGGAGGGGCACGCCGGCGCCGGGGAACGCCTCGTCGATGTACTGCACGATGACCTGCGACTCGCAGATGGGCTTGCCGTTGTGGATGAGCACGGGCACCTTCTTGTGCACCGGGTTGGAGCTGAGCAGCAGCTCGCTCTTGTTGCTGAGGTCCTCCTCGGCGTACTCGTAGCTCAGGCCCTTGAAGCTGAGCGCAAGCTTCACTCGCAGAGCGAACGGGCTCGTCCACATGCCCAGCAGCTTCAGCTCATCTCCTGCTCCGGCCATTAGCTTCTTCTAGCTGTAGCTTGGTGGTGAACTGTGAATCGTGTGAGTGAGGTTTTGAGATTTGAGATGGTTAAATAAATGGTTTTGGTTCGTGTTCTGTGGACGGGGTAGCTAGTATACTGATTGCGTGGCTCGTTGAATGCGCGCTCCCATATTCAGATGTATTGAAACATGTGATCCGCTAACCTGGTCTAAAAAATTAAACGAAGGCATATTGAAAAGAAGTAAATCACTACATGAAGGCATTGAAAATGACACCTGGATCGATGACCTGGAGCTAAATAGGAACACTACTTTTACAGTGGACCTGATCAGCCAACTTGTGTCCCTATGGAGCGCAACCCAGGACATCATACTAAACCAAAATGAGTCAGACCACATCGTCTGGAAGCTCTCGAATCATGGAGAATGCTCGGCCTCTTCGGCATACAAGGCTCAGTGTCTAGGAATAGTCGGCACAAACTTTAATCCCCTAATTTGGAAATCTTGGGCTCCTGCAAAATGCAAATTCTATGCGTGGCTTGTAATTCAAAATAGAGTCTGGACTTCCGATCGACTAGCTACAAGAGGATGGCCAAATAGCGGAGTGTGCCCCCTATGCCGTACGACGAACGAGACGACATGCCACCTATTAGCTTCCTTTAGATACACCAGAAGGATCTGGAGACTGATGGTCGGCTGGGTGGCTTATCAGTAATTGGACCTGAGCAATTGGGAGCCATGCCAAAGCGTACATGAATGGTGGGAAATGCTAGCCAACAAAAAGAAAGTGCCCAAGAAAGGGCTGCGATCCTTAATCCTACTCATAGCCTAAGAAATCTAGAAAGAAAGGAACTAAAGGATCTTCGAGCACAAGGAAACGGTAGCCCCCAACCTTATGGCAAAAATAAAGGAAGAGTCAAGAACCTGAATAATGGCAGGCACAAGGTGACTTGGAGAATTCCTCCCAACTTAACCACAACGCTTATGTAATTTTGTACAGCTCTTTTTTGCCTCTAGGGGATGTATTTTTTTTACGCCTATATCTAGTGAAATAGCACAATCTCGTGCTGTATAGCATTCCCCAATAATTGTTACAATTTTATTTTAAATGCATACATATGCATAAACTTATCTTAAAATGTTCGATACTCTCTTAAAAAGGTACCAAAGAGAAATAGCCTTTCTGGTAAAATTTGATGCCTCTCAGTATCCCACGTATCAAATTTATTATCTCTCGGTACCTTCTTTTTAATGCCGGTAAAATTTATTTACGAATAGGCATTGTTATTAGATTATGACCGCTAATATATTATTGGTGTACCTTTTCATTGTCCCGCACAGTATAGTCTTCTCTCTTTTTTTTTCACAGCCAAATCTGTAATTATTTTCATTGGGCCATGTTATTAAGTTGTAAAGACCTTTCTCACCCAGACGCCACTTGTACTAGTTTCTTTTCTCTAATTAACACTATTCATTTCGGTTTATAACATTTTACCTTGGACAAACTGTTCCCTAGATATTTTTTCAACCCAAGTTACTACTACTGTAGTAACACATCTGAACTCGTAACGTACACGACACTCGACTGTGAAACAGATGGAAACAATCCCAACATCCGTTCGTCTTCGGCATGACACGACAAGTCAACTGTCACTTCAGTTGGTGGCGGCGGCGGCGCGAGCCTGCAGCACCTTGCCGAACTCGATCATCTTGTCCATGTCCGGCATGACGGCCTTGGCGGCGTCCAGCTCCACGAAGCGCTCGGCCCACGCCGCCAGCAGCGGGGTGGTGGCCGGGTCGAACCTCTTGACGCCGCGCATCACGTCGGTGGCGCGCACCCACGCGAGGAAGCCGCCGAGCACGACGTCGAGGTACCCGACGGTGTCGCCGCCGAAGAAGGGCTTCCCCTTGGAGCACTCCCTCAGCCCGACCTCCATCTTCTCCAGCGCCTCCACCACCTTCTTCTCCCCCTCCGCCCTCTCCTCCTCCGTCTTCCCCCACGACGCCGCCTGCGACGCCTCCACCAGCTGCGAACAAATCAAATTGAATCAAAAACGGAAGAGTCGGAGACGATGCGGATGATCGCGATGTGAGGTGACATGGTACCGACGTACCGTGTCGTCGTTGAAGGCGGCCCAGAAGCGAGCGACGGCGCGTTCGTGGGGGTCGGCGGGGAGGAGGGTGGCGCCGGCGCCGGGGAACGCCTCGTCGAGGTACTGGAGGATGACCTGCGACTCGCAGACGGGCTTGCCGTTGTGGATGAGCACGGGCACCTTCTTGTTCACCGGGTTGGAGCTGAGGAGGAGGTCGCTCTTGTTCATGAGATCCTCCTCGACGTACTCGTAGCTGAGGCCCTTGAGACTGAGCGCGAACTTCACTCGCAGAACGTACGGGCTCGCCCACATGCCCAGCAGCTTCAGCTCGTCTCCTCCTCCGGCCATGGCCTCTGCCTCAAGTCTCACTCTCGACTCTGTATTTGCTTGTGAGCGGTGTCCTCTGTTCTGTCTGGTTGGTGTTGAGGAGGAAGGACCGAAGGAGACGAAGTGTATTTATGGAGCTAAGGCCCCCCCAAATCGTATGAGATTAGTCTGCACTTGAACTCAGCAGTTTGCCTGAAGAGGGCGATTTTTCTTTGTTTGACTTGATTGGCAAGCTATATTTGGATGAAATTTCTGGTTTGGATAGTCAAATTCATATACTTGGACAAGAATTCATATACTTTTCTTTTTTTTGCGGGAATTCATATACTTTTCTGGTTTGAAAAGTGTGATCATAGTCGAGCCAAGCCATTCTCTTTTTTTCTCCTTCGGTAATTAATTACCCTCCATTCAAAAAACTTCATTTCTACCAGTACAAGTATTTGTGGGACCGAGGTATTAGTATATTGGCCGATGCTAAGTTGCTAACTCAAACAACCATATAAATTTAGTAGGCGATGACACTTGTCTTAGGGTGTGTTTAGTTCACGTCAAAATTGAAAGTTTGATTGAAATTAGAACGATGTGATGAAAAAGTTGAAAGTTTGTGTGTAGGAAAGTTTTGATGTGATGAAAAAAATTGAAAGTTTGAAAAAAAATTGGGAACTAAACCAAGCCTTAGACTTCATTGCAAAGGAAGCATAGGCTGACAAATCTCTTCCAATCCTATTGATATCACCATCTATGTTGACAAATCTCTTTCTTTTCTACATGATATATGAGGGTAGAATGGTCATTTCATTCAAACCGCTGCATGCAAGGATGACTTGACATACTCATGTGGTATTTTTTTGGGTCTAAGGACTATATTAACCCAAATAATTAATTTGGAGGACTTGCTTGGACGATATGAAATATCGAGGGCTAAATTAAGCCCGAAGCGAAACTTCAGGGATCGTATTAGCTATTCACCCTTCTTTTTACTATACATGCTATGTTTGTTGTTCCACTCGTATGCACCAAAATCAGCTAGCATCATGTTTGACTTGAGCCCATGAATAAATTACTTCACATTATCAACTGAAAGATAATGTTAGCCATTAGTTATATGTAAAGATATCCTATATTAAGATACTGAGACGAGTTGATGTAACGCTCCGCTTCTCGTGAGACGTTAAAAACTAATTCGGCAAATCCTAAATGTGAAAAATTTTGTCCTTTGAGTGCGAGTCTAAGTCGTGCCATGGATCTCGGTTTCAAATCCCATTGTTCCCTCTCATCGAAATCAAAATCCTCCGCCTCAAATTTCCTCTTCCAATTCAAGTCTCTAAAATCTAATTCCGAAAGTCAATCTCTTCCTTTGAATCCTCGCCAAATAAATTTCCAAATCCCAAAATATCCAAACTCATGTTTTGTTTCCTTCCTTGACTCCTTGAACCCTTGTGTACAAAGTATCAAATTTAGATTCAAAACCCAAACTCCAAATCTCTCCAAATCAAAATCTTTCAGCAAAAATCTATTTTGCCTCCCTTGTCGATGGGCTGATGTCACGCCCCGAACTAGTACCGACCGGAACTAGCCCGTGACGCTCCAAATTAACCTGTTAATCGATACCAGTCCCAGGAAACAGTGCTGGTATCACAGGAAGACAGAATATCACAGCAACAGAGGTCTCTTTATTATAGAGTAGGAGTACAATCAAGTCGGGCTGCGGACAGATCCCGAGTTCACAACTGCATTACAAAAGGGAAGCGGAAGCCAGGACTTGGACCAAACAACATAGGCGCGACTTGGGAACTAGGCCGAAACCCTAAAACTCATCGTAGCCGGCTTGCTCCTGGAAGAACTCCTCGTCAGCGGGATCCGCTTCATCTTCTTCAGCAACTGGGGGGGAGATTATTTATGTACAGCAAGGGTGAGTACAGGAGTACTCAGCAAGCCATGGGAAATAAGTGTTTAATGCAGGCTTCAAGGAAAGGCTGTTGTTTTTGCAATTGATTTTATTTGAACTCTTTTCTGAAAGCAACTAAGTGAGTGCTTCTCAAACGACATGGATGAGACAGTGCGTCTCGTCCGGTCGGAGTATGTGCAAATGTATCAGTCTTTAGAATTGATCAAGATTGGCACCCGGCCAACAACTTTCAAATGGCCACCCGGGCCAACAACTTTCAAATGGCCACCCGGGCCTAGCTGATCCCATCAGCTGCAGATTTTCCAAACAATGATCCCCTTTTCACAACAGCAATTTCACAAGGCAGTAGTCGAACAACACTACGCTAGGAATCACCTCACATCCGCCCATGACCGTGGGCACGACTGTTCGAACAGTTTGTTAACCTCTGCAGAGGGGGTACACTTTACCCACACGACATTACTAACCCGGATCACCCAGCCCATGGGGATCAGCCACGTCGGGAGACCTCCAAGCTTTCATGACAAGGCATTTCGTAAGCCGACACAGGTTTACCATATGCCGACGAGAGGGGTCCCAGACCAACAACAGGTTAGGTCCCAGACCATACTGTGCCAGGAAGCCCAGGGGTCCTCCCCGACACCACCCCGGCGAATCCACATGTCTCTCGGCATCAAGGCTCCCCTGATAAGCTAGTTACTCAGCCAGGGGTGTCCCATTCCACCCATGTGGTCGTACTTGTCTTATGTTCGGATGAAATTCCAAGGAAACGGTCCTTAAGTGCAAGAGCGGGAAACCGTACACCCGGTACGTTCCCTGGTCCGCGGTTTTGGAAATTCATTTAGTTCGCAAGCACCGACCCAGGTGTCGGGTTTTCCAAGCCTTTTGTAAAACCCAAGTTTTACCCAAGAAGTTTTTCAGATTTTAAGTTTGAAGGCGACCGTCGATACTAGCATAGGGTGCACGAATATCGAGGCGCAACTAGATGGTTACAAGGGGACATGATATAACAATTAACAAAGGAAGGATCAAATGCAACAAATTAGGTAGGTCCGCCAATCTGCCTTGCAGACGGGACAAACAGATTAAGTGCGATCCTATCAATGCATAATATTTTTCAAGCAACATAATTAAATTCAAATATAGGCTCAAGATGTTCAAAGGTGGCTTGCCTTGCTCGAGATCTGGAGCTTGATCCTCGAAATCCTCGCACTGCGGGTCTTCGGGCTCCGAAACTACACGTGAAACGGGACAACTCAACAAACGGTGAAAATAAAGCCCTATTAAAGACCTCTAAGCGTGCCATTAGATAGATCTCGAGATTTGAGGAATTTTGGAAGTTGAACGGAGTCAAACGGATTTACGGTTGGGAAGATATTGAATTTCTAAGATTATTGGATTTTTGGGTCTAAGGGAAAAGGATTTAATTAAATCCTTTTTGAAAAAGAAAAGAAAAGAAAAGAAAAGAGGGAGGGAAAATAGACTTTTCCTCGGGCGGCTAGGGCGCGGCCCGAGACAAATGGAGCGGTCCGGCCGAGCTAAATGGGCCGGCCGGCCCAAGGCGGCCCAAGGCGGCCCAAGGCGCGCGCGCGGGAGGGGAGGAGAGAGAGAGCCAGTGGACCGGGCTCACCACGCGTGGTCCCGGGTGGGACCCGCTTGTCGGTGACACGGTTCACCGTGCGGAGCGAGCACGCGGCGCACGCGCGCGGGCGGGGGAGGGACGCGGTGCACGCGCGCGGTTCGCGGAGGACGCGGATGCGGTGGGCCCACGCGCCGCCTCACGGCTCGCGGTGGAACGCGCGCACGGGAGGGGCTGACCGGGGTCGGCCCGACCCGATTTTGGCCGAGCTGGCGCCGACGTGTCGCCTACGTGGCTGCCACGCGGGCCGGCGGGAGATAGACGACGACGCCGGCCGGAACGAACCACGGCGATACAGGCGAAAGCGAGCACACCGGGTGGTTGCACAGGACGAGGGGAGACGAGCCAACGGCTCGGATTCGCCGGAGGATGCCCGACGGCGGCGAATTGCGGCGGCGGCAACCGGCGGCGGGAGAAGGGGGAAACGGCGACGAGGTCACGAGGGGCCGATTCCCGGCGGCGAGAGCATCTACGCGGCTACGGGAATCCAATGCTAGCGTTGGATTGGGCGGAGCTGCGCCGAGCGAGGCCGGCGACGAGCGGCGCTTCCGAGCTCGGGCGGCGATGGCGGCGAGCACACGGCGAGCGGCGGCAACGGTCGGGGCGGCGCCGGCTAGCTACGGGGAGGCTACTCGTGCTACTACCCGAGTCTAAGGGGAGGAGATGGAGCGAGGAGGGAGAACGGGGAGATGCACTACCGTGCGGGCGGGCGCAGTGACGAGAGGCCGATGGCGCGGGAGTAATCTCTCCGGCCTCGGGCCGGGGAAGAGGAAGGAGAGGGCGCGCTCGGAGTCCCCTTCCGCGTCCTTGCTCGTGCCGGCTCCTCCGACACGCGCAACGACGAACGGCGACTGCGAACAGAGCACGGGAGGCGGCGGCAATGGCGTGGAGGCGAATGGGAGAGGAAAGGAAAGGGGGAAGCTTGGGTTTATAGGATGGCAATGTCGGTTTGGGAACCGACTTAGGGCGGTCAAAGGAGAGGGCTAGCGCTCGGCGGTCGTGGCCAAAGCGGCGACAGGGAGGAGGGAGGAGGATGACGCCGGCGGGAGGAAAAAGGGGAAAAGAGGGAGAGAAAAGGGGGCTTGTCCCCTTGCCTCTTCGGGAAAAGGAGGAGGGAGCGGGGGCGACGCGGCAGAGGGAGGAGGAGCTCTGCCTCCGTCCTTTGGCAGCTTGCGCGCGGAGTGGCGGGGGGCCGGGCGATGACGACGGCGATGACGGCGGGGCGGTTTGGAGCGGGGCGACGACACGGGCGGCAGGCGCGGCAGAGGCTGACGGCGGCGGCGACCAGGCGGTCGGCCACCACGGCACGCGCGTGCGGTTGCAACGGGAGGCGTGGCGGTTTGAGCGGCACAGCTCGGGCACGCGCGCTGGCTTGCGGGGCCGAGCGGCTGCGCGGTAGCAGGCGCGGCAGGGCAGCGGGGCCGGGCGGCGCAGACGGCGCAGGCGCGACGCGGGCGACGACCACGCGGACGCGCGCGCGAACAATGACGCGCGGGGCCGAATCCGCGGGCGGGGAGCTCGCCAGGGATGGAGGCGGGGAGAAGGAGAGCGAGGGGAAGGGAGGGCGCTCGGCGCGGGCGGCTCACGCGC